AAATTAAAAGTCGAGGACCAATTTTGAAATAATAATATTAATAATAATAAAACATCCGTACAGTAACTAACACACACACACACACACACACACACACACACACACACACATATATATATATATATATATATATATATATATATATATATATAATGAATTTGGTTTGTATATATGTAATTAGGGGATAGTAATGGTGAGTTACGTATAACTAAAGAAATAGTACATTTAAATACAATCATTATGATGTGGAACCGTGTCCACCTTGTAAGGTGGACACAGTTCTATGTTCATAATTACTGAATTATATCTTCATAATTATAAAGTTATATATATTCATAATTTTTGAACTTTATATTCGTAATAATTATTGAACTCTATATTCACAATTACAGAACTCTATGTTCATAATTACTGGAACTATATGTTCATAATTATAAAGTTATATATTCATAAATTTTGAACTTTATATTTACAATTATTGAATATCTATATTCATAATTACAGAACTATATATTCATAATTATGTTCACAACTATATGTTCATAAGTATAGAACTATATGTTCATAATTTTGAACTATATATTCATAATTATGAACAGTTTTAGAACCGTGTCCACATTGAAAGGTGGACACAGTTCCACAACATAATTTGCCATTGAAATGAACAAGAAAGCCCAAGAAGGATACACATAACAGAACAAGTTAGTAGTTTAATAACAGTCGTTATATCGTGGACCGCGGTAAAAACGGCGCCTTTTCTTTAACGGAGTGCCCATTTTTTTATATGTTAATTACCAACACTACAGTATATCTAAACCAACACTACCTCACTTATTATTTTTATATTATCAAATGAAACTGCAGTTATATCAAAATGATACTGTAGCTGTGGTGAATGTTGGTCAGTCGTTGACTACCCAAAACTCATAAAACCAACATTCACTCCGTCTGTGGAGATCACTACAAATATATAGCCTCGTGATTCCTACCTCGACAATATATTCTAACTACCGATCCCCGAATTCGGAAGTCCCAATTTGGACCTGCATTGTGTCCCCGATGTTGGATATGCAGTAGGCCATAAAACAACTAGCATCGAAGGAAGACATAATTGACGCAAATAACTCCATTGTGTTAAGCACGTTTTCTGCTTCAAAAACACACTTGTATATGGAATTGACTTTTGCATGCATCCGCAAACATGGCAAACCTATGAGGAAAAACACGACGGTCTCAATCCAAAACAGATACGGGGATTTAAACGTATGTATTTGATGCTTTTTATCCTAACTATGACAAATTCCAAATATAATTGCGCATGGGATGTTATATCAATGGGCTGCTATTCACAATCAGGAAATTTCAGTAACCATGCAATGGGAAAATTTTAATTGCCATTTTTGGAGGGCACGTGTACATTGGCAGCATGCAAACACAACATGCATGGAAAGTTTTTAGGCATATATACATGGCAGAAAAGAGCTAGATTGCTCAAAAATGAATTGAAAGCCGCGCCATGCGTGATTATAATCCTTTATCCGCTAGGCATTGGATTATCAAGAACACAAGAACAATCGACGGTTAACAGGCTACAAGCTTATACAGACGTGACCATGGTTCGGTTCGGTTCGGTTCTGGTTCCGAACCTACAGTGACGTACGTCGACCCGTGACGCAATCCTAGTCTTCTCGGCTAGAACTGTCAATACGAGTTGGCGGAGCGGGACGGGCCAAAGCGGACGGGCTGCGAGCCAAAAAAGCCCACTCCTTGGCGGGCCTGGGTTTTATTGGCCCAAACCACCGGCATTCGGGCTAGGCGGGCCCGCCAGAATACTATTTTTTATCTTTTCATAATTTGTTAGTTTATTGCTTTGCTAAATTTTATCATTTGTACATACAAAAATAATTAAAATAACTTGATACGTAACTCACATAAAACATAATTAATCAAACACCAGACATTATATAATTGATAATAGAGAACAATAATTATAAAGTTCAAAGTCCATAGTTCATCAAACATTAAACCTAACAATACCACATGGTTCATCAAACTCACTAGTCACAACTCTAAAGTTCATAGTCCATTCCAATACTTCATCAAATATTAAACATAACAATAATTTTAAAGTGCATAATCTAAAATTATAAAGTTCACAAAATCACAAGTCCATAATTCATCAAACATTAGACATTCCATCATTCAATTCATCTTCATTCATATCATCTTCTTCATATCCTTCATATATCTCCGACCGTCTTTCATTTCCTTATCAACAACTTCATCAACATCATCACAATCTATATATAAAATACATAAAAAGTGTTTAAAATTAAATCACTATTTCTTTAAAAAACAAGATAATATAACATACGAGTTTATAAATGAACTTACTCATATTGTAACCATGCAACCAATTACGAGTGCAATTAAGAGTTTGCACTTTTTCAGGCAACATACAACTTTATAATAATATGAGTGCAAATATAACATTATAATATATGTAATTATAAATTTATAAGATATAATAACATTATAATATATATAATTATAAATTTATAAAATAGTTTGTGATTTTGTGTATTCTCATAATCTACCATTTTGATTTACTTTCTTACCAAACAATTAGTGAACCGATTGACACAGACAAACAATTGGACAATCAGGCAGATAGATTGACGGATAACGTGGTGCGGAAAAAAAAACTAAAGTAGAAAGTAAATCAGCACTTAAGTTTGTTTACGCAGTTCAATACAGTGTGTATCTACATCTGGGGGATGATCACTGATGCGTCCAATTCACTAACTCAGAATCCAATGTACAAAGATAGAGAAGAATGATCTCACCCAAAAGTCCCATACTAGGTCAGTACCCAGTCTACAAAGGTATATATAGTGGATTGTTGAAGACGGAAAGTCATGCATCCAAAAGTCCAATGAAATCCCTTCAATGGAGAGCTAACTCTAATGCAGTCCGCTTCAATGACGCAGTCCTACATTGTTCCCAGAATTGAGTGATCTTCGCGTCCACTGTTTAAGCATAGATGTTTCTTCTCAAGTTCATCTTCGTAATCACCATGAACTTTAGGTTTTGAGAAGAGATGTAAAACCAAAGTTCTCAACCTTAGAACGATGAGAGCAGTCCCTATTTATTCTGGATCAGTAATCATTCAAATCTCTTGAAATCTTCTTGAATATGCTCTCTCCGTAAATAACTCTGGTTGTGAAAGGTAGGATGAGTAATCAAGGTAAGATTATGTCCATACCTCTTTAGGTGATCCGTTGAATGAAGATTTCTCTTAAATTGATCACCTTATATCAAAACCGCGTCTGCCAGCATATATTTGCTTTAATTAGATGATCTTCAACGACTTTAAACCAAAGACGCTTCTGACGAGTTACCTGATCAATCAGGCCTTTAGTCTTCAAACTTGACAAACACTAAACTATAGCCTATCTTAGTGCCATAATAATATTGCCAATTACATGTTGGGATTTTTATTCTAAACTTAAAAACACTAACAAACTCCCCCTTTGGCTATTATTTGGCAAAACAACTCAACTAAAAAAACGTAGGCCAGAAATTAATGCAATAAGGCAAAAACTAAAGATAGGCCAATATCGCCAGCAGCTTGAACCCAACACAAAAAAAAAAAAAAAAAAAAAAAAAAAAAAAACAACAACAACAACAATTTGATTACAACCCATTAAAAAACAACAACACACAAGTCGTGATAAAAACGAGAAATCATCAGAACAAACGCCCATACAGGGCCAGATGGGACAACTTTATCTTCAGGCAGGCAGGCAGACAACTTCCAAAAAACTTTTACTCCCCCTAAGTCTCCCCCCTGAGTTTTTACTCCCCCTGAGTTTACTCCCCCTTTGTGCAAAATGATAGTCAAAGAAATTTAAACCACAAGAGGGTCTCCACTGTCATACCAGGGGGCAGCAGGTGGTTCAGACTCTGATAGGCTCATACGGAGAAGGACAGTAGCTAGTTCAGTGCGCGCAACATTGAGTTGATTTGATTATTGATAATGTTACTGCAGTGTGTAGCTCTTCAACATGTATCTTTAAATGCCTGGATAGCTTCAGACCATGAACATAGGGAGTATCAGCGTCTTCATCATAGATGGAATCCTTCAGAGGATCAACTGGCTGAACATCACGGATATGCTTTCCACCAAGGAGACGAGAGTCGACTGTGTAATCACTACAAGAAAAATCACGAATCGCGACGGAATATATTCCGTCGCCATTTAGCGACCGAATACATTCCGTTGCAAAATGGCGATGGAAAAGGCGTCGCAAAGATAAATAAAGCCCGCGAAATATTGGCGGCAAAATATTCACGACCGAATTTACAACGGAACTAATTTCCGTCGCCCATTTTGCGACGGAAAAGGCGACCGATGTTCGTTCCGTCGCGATTTCGCGACGGAAATTGCGACCGACTTGTTTCCGTCGTTAAATGAATTAATTTTTGATGTATTGGCTCAATATTGCGATGGAAATTGCGACCGTTTGTATTCTGTCGCAATAGTTTTGTTAAATTTTATTTTTTCTTCTAAGTTAAACGGTGGCGTTTTTAATATGAAATTAAAATTAAAATAATAATAAAAAATAATAAGTAAATTTCTACCTAATCTTCTATTCTATTGCTTCCCAATCCCCAACTCCCGCCCCCATTCCCCAAGCGGCCAAGCCCTAACTCAAGCTAGGAGTGAGCAAAAATACCGAAAAACGATAACCGATAACTGAACCGATCGAAAATTTCGGTTTTCGGTCGGTTATGGATTACAATGAAAAAAAAATCGATTATTCGGCTAATCAGTTATTTGAGGTTAAAAACCGCGGTAACAGAATAACCGACATTATATATATATATATATATATATATATATATATATATATATATTATAAATAAATTATATAATTATAAAATCCTTACCTTAGTGAGTCTTAATATTAAATTTTGTCTGTCAATTCTCTCAATTCGCCGCTTCGCAAACCCTAGTGCAGAGACTACAGACTGCAGACCTTGAGAAGCCGCGACGCCGCGCAGCCCTCTCCGCCTCTCCGAGTCTCCGACGAGAGAGGAGTCGCAGCCCAGCACTCCCCCAGGTGCCCTCTCTCCACTCTCCAGTCTCCAGTCTCCATGCAGCCGGCAGCCCGCTCGCCTCACTGCCTTGCGCCGACTCGGAGTCGCCGGTCAGCCTCGCGCCTCAGCCCTCTCAAATCAGATTCTCAGGTAATTTATAATTGTTGTTTACTTTAAATTTTATATTAAAATTAATTGTGTTCATTTGTTGTGAGTCTTGGCAGTATAAAGTGTCACTCTGAGTGTGTGAGTATAAATTTTATAAACTGTCACTGCGAGTGTGTGAGTATAAATTTTATAAACTGGAAGTATTTAGGGGTCGTTTACTTCATTTCTCTGTTTTTCCATTTCCAGTTTTCCATTTCTCCAGTTTTCCTTCTCCATTCTTCCAGTTTTCCATTTCTCCAATTTTCTAATTTTCATCCCCTATCCCTCTAGTTTTTTATTTCTCTAATTTTTTAATTTCATTAAATTAAATACAATCATTACATATAAACATTTGTACATTTCTACAACAGAGATAATAATGACAATAATGATGATGATGATGATGATGATGATGATGATGATGATGATGATGATGATGATGATGATGATGATGATGATGATGATGATGATGATGATGATGATGATGATGATGATGATGATGATGATGATGATGATGATGATGATGATGATGATGATGATGATGATGATGATGATGATGATGATGATGATGATGATGATGATGATGATGATGATGATGATGATGATGATGATGATGATGATGATGATGATGATGATGATGATGATAAGCAATAAAAACTGAAGAGGAAGAGCCAAACCATCGAGGAAGAGTAATAATAATAATAATAATAATAATAATAATAATAAAGTAATAAAAAACTGAAGAGGAAGCGCCAACTAGGAATAATAATAATAATAATGATATAATAATAATAGTAATAGTAATAATAATAATAATAATAATAGTAATAATAGTAATAATAATAATAACTGAAGTGAAGGAATTAAAAATGGAACCGAAGAGGAAGAATAAAAAGAAGAAGAGGAAAAGAAATTGATGAGGAATAAAAAATAAAGAGGAATGAAAAGAAGAAGAGAGGAAAAAAGAAACAAAGGAATGCGCCCAAGACAAGATTCGAACACTAGACTTCAAGGTCAATATACACTATTCACGCACATTTTTTCCAATCCTCTAAATGGAGAACTCAAAATTTCCTCTCTCCAAAATCATATAGAAACGGAAGAATGGAGATAGAAAAGGCATTTGGAAGAAGAAATTTAGTAAACAACTTTTCCAATTTTTATTTTTTCCATTCTCAATTTTTCCATTTTTTTGGAAAATTCTCCATTTTTCCAAGTTAGTAAACGACCCCTTAGCTCTTACTTATTGAGCATGAAGTGAACTAGTGAACAACCCAACCTCTTTGTTTGATTATAAATTTTATAAATTTACAATCCATTGCCTTAATTCATTTTATATAAATTTTATTTTTCACTGTGAGTATGAATTTTATAAATTCACCTTAATGCAGCATTAATGTTTGACCTCACTGTTTAATCCACTCACAATACAAATTTTTTATGTGTTCCTCACTAGTAATGCTTTGTTTATAATGCTTTGACCTCACTGTTTAATCCACTCACAATACAATTGTTTATGTGTTCCTCACTAATAATCCGCAGCTATAAATTTTAGGCTACATTATTAATACTTTGTTTATGTGTTCCTCACTGTTTATATAAATTTTATTTTCTCACTGTGAGTATAAATTTTATAAATTCACAATCCACTGCCTTAATGCTTTGTTTATGTGTTCGTCACTGTTTATGTATTTCTCATTAAACTGTGTTCATGACTTCATGTGTTATGTTTAATGTTTAGTATTAAATGCCCAACGAGACACGGACACTGGAAGACTCCCTTGCCAACGACGACGACCCTTGTCTCCGGTCTCCACCCTTGCCAACGATGAATGGACGAAGCTGCTACCCACGAGACCGAGGTACACTTTACAGTTTACACTCAACATATTAACTGATTTTACAACATATTAATAATCCTATATTCCTATTATTTAAGTGTTTTGCAGACTAGTAATAATCCTATCAGTATATATTTAAATTCATGTGCCCTAGATTTCAGTGGTTTCCCCTTTTGTTTATGTATATTGTTGAAACTTGAGTTTAGTATTTGAACACAATGCCTGAGCAGTAAGCACAACATCAAGCTTTGTCCTCTGTTTTTCAGTTTAACTTTTGTCAAGAATACTGGTAATAGTATTTGAACATAATGCCTGAGCACAATTGCATGACTCTCTTGGCAACAATTTAGTTTGTTTTTGGATTGATGGACACTCTTGGTTCTTTATTATTGTAATGTTCACCCATATAGGCATATAGTACCAACTTTAAGATGTATTACATGTACATTATTCTTAGGCATATAGTTTTCAAATATGATGTTTGTGTATCTATATTTCTAGATGGCTGTTTGTATGTTTCTTCCACTGTTAAATTAATTTGTTTATCTATATTTCTAGATGGCTTAAATGTCGAAATTGGTTTGTGCATCTATATTTCTGTTTGAGGAAGCTAGGATGTGTTAATGTGCTATATAATTATATTGCTGTAAAGTTGGAACTATATATAAACTGGAATTGAATGGGAAATTTGATTTTAAAGATATGAGGCTTCAAATAGCTTCCTTCCTCTATTTGGGCAGTAGGAAGGCTTTAAATGGGAGTGAATATTTCAACCTGTGCATTCTATGCTGCTAACCTTATGAGTGATACATTCAAATGATTTTGTTTATCGTAGATCTTTTCTATATATAAAGGATTGACTGAATTTATGAGCTTCAATTACATTTTGGTTTACATGGGATGAACCAGATTTGAAACATTATATTAAATTTGCACAACTTCACCTTAACAATTAATAACCTCTTCTTATTGCAGTGAGTTCGTTAAGTAAGCAAAAAGATTGGCAATTTTGAGGAAATCAGGCAGTAGCTCTGGGAGGCAATAGTCAGTGTTTCTAATATTTTCTTTTGTTTTATACACTATGTATGATATGTGCTTATTATTTTATTTTTTCAAAAAACAAACTATTGGCCCTTGTACATTTCTGTTATGTTAGATGTCGGATGTGAAGTAATTGAGGCCATGGCTGCCATTAACAAGGTACCTCTTCTCAACAATCATTGCCCTATAGCTTTTGTCTTCTCCTTCTTAAACCAATCTGAACCAAGGCTCTATAAATGAATCACATTTCAAGCCAGGTTATGCATTGTTATGTGATATACTTTCTCATACCGCTTAGCTGTTCACGAAATCCTTTGTTTTGATAATCTTGACGGATCTGTATTTGTTTTCACTATAAAAAAAAAAAAAAAAAGAAAAGAAAAGTAAAGATCTGGTCTTGCGATTGTGTCTTGAATAAGATTTCTTTTTAAACTGTTGTTGTTTAAAATCACAATTTTGTTGTTATATATGCTTCTTTCTTCCTTTAGCAATTTATAGCCATTTTCATATCCTTTGGTTTCTTGCTTCAGACGGATGCTGACAGGACTTCTGGCTGCAAAGGGAAGTGTTCCAATTGGAATTGGCAAGAATTCACACATCAAAAGAGCAATCATTGACAAGAATGCTCGTATTGGGAATGATGTGAAGGTTTGATATCAAATAGTTTTATGCTCTTCTCCTCTTTTTGCTTTTAAAAACTTGGCCATTAATGTAGTGAACAAGTGTGCTCAATCTTCCTGTGCACGTGTAACATAAAGAAGCAGCTAACTTGACTCTTGATTGTTTCAGATCATTAACAGTGAAAATGTTCAAGAAGCAGCTAGGGGAACTGAAGGATATTTCATTAAAAGTGGAATCGTCACAATAATCAAGGATGCATTGATTCCCAGTGGAACCATCATGTAGAAGTATTTGAAAATCATGTGTACATGATTACTGTAGTGTAGCTGTTAGAGAGACTAATGACGCATCCTGTTAAACCTTTCGTTTTAGTTTTGAAATTTTAAATAATAAAGCATCATCGTCATCTTCTATGTTGCTTTTTTCCCAGCTTAAGGCGTTTAATTGCTATGATTGAGATATAGGCAAATAAGATATTTAAAAAACAGTCATTACTATTTAAAATCAGAATTTTATTTTAAATAATTCAAAAAGGCGACGAAATCGCGACGAAATATAAGATTTGGGATGGATTATTTGTTGCAAATGATGCGACGGAATTGTGACGGGAAACATTTCCGTTGTGAAATGGGCGACGGAATATTTGATTCAAAAATAACGACGGAAACAGTTCAGTTGCAAAATGGGCGACGGAATCGTGATGGAATACTTCGCTAAGTCCGTCACCAAAAGTTGCGACGGAATTATTCTGTCGTCTATCAAAATACGACAAGGCGATAGACGACGGAATAAATTCCGTCGCGAAATGCGATTCGCGACGGAATATTGCCCATTCGCGACAGAAAAATTCCGTCGCGATTTGCGATTTTTCTTGTAGTGAATACAGTGAGGTCCAAACCACCTCATTTGCCAAAGGGATCAATCCCTGACTTGTCAGCATTCCAAAGATCAGATTTGGATAGAGCAATTTTACCTTTTGTTCCCTTGGGTGGACCAACGTCAGCACATGATCAAATATCCATCTGCCTAAGTCAACTGGTTTTTTAGTACCAATTCTGTACAATAGACCAGCAAGTGTTTAACCAACAGTGTAAAAATGAGCAGAGGGAAGTTGTGTAGAGCAATCCTGTGAAGAATAACAAACTTCGATGTGAAGTCAGAACTGGATAAAGCATCAGAATCAGTAGATGGCCACTCAGTCAGTAAGCCTTCAGTCAATGTTTTGGCCACTAGATCCCAGTCAGACATTTCTTCTGCATTCTTAGAGCTTAGTCCATAGAAAGAATTGACAACATCAGGTCAAAAAATGTACCACTTGCCTCTAACAAATATCTTTAGGAATTTCTTGCTTGATGGATCATCTATGGCTTCATTCAGATTGCAATAAAACTCATAAATCAGTAACTTTGAGTAAGGACCAACTTGGTAAACAGTATTCAACAAACCAACTTTCTGCAGCAGTGGAACCACATCACAGACAGAATTCATCTGTTTGATATCAATGGACCTTTGAATAATTAGTTCTCTCTTGATCATGGAGTCCCATTTGGATTCTGCTTCTGCATCAACAAACACAGGTATGTACTCAGATGTATCTGAACTTTCTGGAGGTGGAGCTTCAGTTGGGGTGACACTTCTTCCTCTAGTCCTTGAGTGCCCCTTAGCCTTCTTTCCATTAGGTGCAGGAAGTGGAGCAACTTGTCCTTTTCCCTTCACAAAGAACCTTAGATTTTTGAACACTTGATGTACAGGAGGATCCACTTCAACTTTCTTAGATTCAATAGTCTTCCTTTTCTTCTTAGAACTTTTTTCCAATGAGGGCTCATCAGTAAGATTAACCAGAAACTTTTCAGGAGCACATTTTCTTTTGGATTTCTGGGTATTCCTGTTAGGTGACCTTTCAACCGGACTAGGTGACACAGAGTGGCTTGTTTCAGAGCCCATAACAGTAGTAGTGGACATAACTTTTTGAATCTCTCCGATTTAAACTTTGAAGACTCAGGATGAGCAGTTTCAGCCACAGATTGACTCTCCTCTTGGCCAACAGGAAATGAGGTAGCACCAAGCAGTTCAGAAAGAAGTTTCTCATCATCACTCTCTTCTGGATTAGAAAACACAGGTTTTTGTACTATGACTTTATAGGGTACAGGAACAGACTCGGTGGGTAAATTTGTAAAGTAGCGAGCATGTTCTAGAGCCAAACTAGAAGAAGCATACACATGAATAACAACATTTGTATCAGATGGATGGATAGAATCAGACTGTTCAGAATGTGGGACAACAGACTCATTTAGAGTGGATTTAGTAGGGTTGACTTCATTTGAAACAGAGGCTTTTACAGGAAAGTTATACTTGGGTTTTTTAGAGACACTAGTACAAAATCGAACATCACTAGTACAAAATTGCACATTCGCTACTGTTGTAAAAGGCATTTCGCCACTGTTGTACAACAGTAGCGAATACTATAGTCACTAAAAGTCTTGGACTTTTCGCCACTGTTGTGGAACAGTGGCGAAAAGTTGAGTAATCCGCCACTGTTCTTCACTTGAATGGTGGCGGATTAGTATTATTATTATTTTAATATTCGCTTTCTGCTACTGTTCTTGTTGAAGAACAGTAGCGGATTCATTTTATTTTTTAAAAAAAATTACTTTCCGCCACTGTTCTTCTTTGAAGAACAGTGGCGGATTCAATTTATTTTTTTTTTAAAAAAAAATAATTAAAAAAAAAAAACAAAACAATATTCGTTTTTCACACTTCGATTCTTATACAAACATTATAAAATTACAATACTTCAAGCTAAAAAACAATCAATGAATTATAGATTTGCAGTTCCAAACTGAAAGCTAAGACCTGGCTAAAAAAAATCGATGAACTAAGATGAGTGGCTAAAAAAAAATCAATGAACTAAGATGAATGGCTAAACAACAATCAATGAACTAGTGTGCCAAAACTAAGACCTGGCTATAGTTGCATCGTATAGGCTCCAATTCAGCATGGCTTCAATTTCTGCCAAGGTTGAGTAACCAAGATGAATGGCTGCCCATTTCAAAAATGTTCGAAGATCCATCATACTGATACTTCCAATTGGATTTATATAAGCTGAACTGCAATCATAGTGCAACATGCAAACAGTTAAAATTACATTGCTACATTTTGGTGGTGGTTTAATATAATACAGAACTGCTTGACCAAAACAAGGATGTATAAAACTATAAATTAATTCCAAGTCCAGTATTATAAACCTGTATTTATACTCTTACATATACCAAAAGAAAAGAAATCTCAGCAAGTTTATTTTAGCCTATGCTATGATCCCTTTACAACAATGTTAGCTTCTTTCCAACTTCTCCACAACAACACAAGATTGAACCATTTCTCCAATGATGATGCCACTACAGCATTTGTAAGGGCACTAAGGCTCATACTCAGTAAATAAACATCATGGACAGAATAACATCCCACTGGGATAAAATTTGAATAAATCAAGTGCGTGCAGGTATCCAAAGAGCTGAAAGTGAGAACTAGACTAGGCATTATGAGAGCCATGGCATCACATAATTGTCATTCACAAGCAATTTCAAATGCAATAACCTACCTAATAATGCTAAATAATCTTATTTACTTTCCTTGGTCATTTGGGTAAATAGGTCTGATAGCCCTTAGGTTATCTACACATCACAATTATCAGGTAGATTTGGAAATGCATTTTTGAACAAGAGAGACGAGGCAAATGGACTTCCAATTGCTTCTATGATACCAGTTAGGGTTAAAAGGACACAATTGAAGCTCAACCACAGCCTTCTCAGTTCTTACCAAGTTGATGTATGACCCATATTCCAACAATGTCATTGAACTACCATCCCTTCAGAGACCCAAATTAGCCCTGAATTCCACTTTAGGTTTCCCTTCCTTTCAATGCCTCAATGATCAAACCACTTAAGAAATTTTTTACCTACAATTGGTCCCTCAAGTGGAATCACATGAGGATTTCTCCGGTTAAATGTGTATAACATTCTCTCTCATTGGCTAGAGAAACCACAACATATTGGAGAGGTTATTATGCCCAGGTGCATTATTACCTTAAAGCTAGAGGTGTTCATTTGTTTAGCTTTAGCTCGGTTAGCCAATCAAATCGGAAATTAATTAGGTTAATTGATCAATTAACCAAATTAATTCTGATTCAGTGATAGATTTTAAAATTTTAAAAATCTCTTTTATGAGTTAATTCTATTTGAAATTTCAATTTTCTCAATCAATTGAAAATTCACCAAAATATATAATCTATCGACTAATATTATATGCATAGACCATTTCATTTTGCTCAAGCCCATTACACCCAACATATTTGGCTTAGTAAGAAATTAGAGTTCTAAGTTGTAATAAACTTCCATCTATTTTACTTTACTTTTTAAAGCATGAACATAATAAGTCTTTTTAAGCATTAGAAAATCAGTTAAGTCCACATATTTGAGTAAGAGTCTCATTTATTCAGATAATCTAAATCTCTGCAGTTCCTTCTTTGACTTCTTAGCTGATAAATACTTAACAAAACCCACGTTCATTTTCCTAAAGTTCATCCTACCGTCTATTTGAGCCATCTAAGATTGATGCAGCAGTTCAATTTTGAGGAAGCATAATATGAAGATATAACAGAGTAACAGATAAAACACTTCGAATTCTGAACAAATATCAGAAAAGATATCCCAAATTTTACAAGAATTTGTTACTTCCATGCAATGTTAAGGGCAGTTTCTAGAAAATGCATAAGATAGTTTTGTCTAAAAGATCAAGATAAGGTGAAAGCTAAATGAAGCAAAAGCAAGAGACAAGAAGCATACCAGTTCTTTGTTTCACATAAATGCAGGCAGCTTTTGGGAAAAGAACTTTCTGGACTAAGCATCAAAGATCTAACAAATCTGGAGAATCAACTTGAAGTGAGCCTGAAAGGTATTCGAACGAGAAAGGTAAAGTACTTTCTACTTGGCACAAGTTACTGTTTGCAGATATCTAATTTCACCCATTTATGAACAATCCTAAACGAATCCTTGTTTCTTGTAGGAGCAACCTAGAGTCAACCTATAAAATAAAAAAAAAAAAGTTACCGGAGTAAAAGACTAATATGCCTTGTAAAGTGTCAGCAATTACATTCCACGATATGGCACTATTGCAGCATGATATAGAACACTTAAAGTGAAGTATTAAACAATAGATTGGGGCCTCAATCTTATTGTGAGAGGTATATAGTAATATTCTACAACCTTCTTAGTTATCTTATCAACTTCATCAATATACACAATTCCATGCTCAGCTGCTTCTACATCAAAGTCTGCAGCCTGGGAGAAAACAATAACAACAAGAACATTATCTAGGAACACACAAACAAAAATAGCAAAATGTTGCAAGCATTACAAATGAAAAGCCATATATCCACATCCCAAAAGCTTTTGGAAAAAATTAAAGTAGAAGGAGGGAAATTTATGCAGAAAAAGTCAGGAACTAATATTATTAGGAAAAAATCATCCAAAATATAGTTTACCTAGCGGAGGCAGTCCTCTGGTTGGAGCAACAGCCCTAGCGAGGGAAGTGGTGAGGGACGCGCTACCCGTTCCCGATTTGCGAGAGAACCAAACATCCCGGAACTATCTCTATGGATGAGGATGCGGTATCTTCTATCTGATGCGATTCCAGATCTGTATCGTCGGGGCCGTCGGACGATAGATTGGAAGAGGGAGGTGGGCGACGTCGTCAATAAGCACCGCTGTGCCGTCTTTCCGATTCAAGAACCAAACAACCCGGAACTATCTCTAAGGACGAGGATCTGGACAAGGATGCGGTCTCTTCAATCTGATGCGGATCCAGATCTATATCGTCGTCCATAAGCACCGTCGTGCTGTCGTCGTCATCGTCCTTCAGGCAGGCGGGCGACGTTGTCCATCTCCATCACCACAGGCGGTGTCGCCCATCTGAGATATTGAGAGGCGGAGGTGAAGATTGAGGAGACAGACCAAGATGGATGTGAGATGTTGAGAGGCGTGAAGGAGTGAGAGAGGAACGGCGGTGTGAGTGAGGCAGATTCATCGGATCTGATAAAAATAATTATTTTTTATTTTTTATATGAATTATTGAAACTTTTCGCCACTGTTTCGTGAAGAAATAGTGGCGGAAATATTTATTTTTCGCCACTGTTTCGTGAAAAAACGGTGGCAGAATATAAAAGCTTTTTTATTTTTTCTAAACCACAACAGTTGCAGCTATTAACGGTAGTGGATTATTTATCAATTATTTACAAAATTGCCACCGCATAAGAATACACTACTGTTATTTTAAGAACAGTAACTAAATGCCAGTCTTCTATGTTCTTTTTTGTACTAGTGATAGAAGATTGACCATAGACTACCATTTTTTAAAGAATGGCTGCCCAATCTTAACTCAAAATTCGTGGTGGCAATTTTGTAAATAAGTGATCAATAATTCGCCACCATTGTTAGCTGTAATGATTGCCCATTGTATTTTGTATTTATTTAAAAAAAATTAATTTATAATAGACAACCATTTCTAATAAAAATGGTTACCTTAAAATAGAACTTGTTTTATAATAGGCAACATTTCTATTAGAAATGGTTGCATAATATTAACCCTAAAAAAAATAAAAAAAATAAAAAAAATATATTAACCCTAGATCTGCATCAGATCAAAATCCTCTAACACTACTCTCAACACCCTTCAACACCCTCCAACACCCTCAGCTCTGCTCCAATCGAAATCATCCTCAGCTCTGCTCCGATCGACCGTCTCTGCCTCGATCGTCTGACGCCGCCGGCCACCCACCGCCACCACGTCGTTGGCCTGCGGCGACGACACTCACCGCGACGGACCGCCACACGAACAGCACCATCCACCGTCGCACGCCCCCACCGCGACGCACCGCCACAGCCTCCATCCCCGCCGACGCCACTGCCGTCTCCCCCGCCGATGCCACTGCCGCCTCCCCCGCCGACGATACAGCCGCCGATCTTCAGGTTCTTTAGGTTAGTTTTAAGCTCTTGCAAAGCATTGGGTCTGAAATTGTCTGTATTTCTATCTATTTTCTGAAATATTATGATATTATAGCAACATTTTTATTTATGCTCCTTTGATTCATACCTCATTGCTATGTTGCACTTTGTGTGAAGTTTGGGGCAGAAGTCAAAGGAGTATTCAAGTATGCCTGCACAAACAGATATTGAGATATTAGTGTAATGTGTTGAGGTATAGAGTTCACTAATTAATAAAATTATAAGAATCATATAGAATATTTATTTAACATCTCAAGAGGGTTGGTTACTTGCTACTTCCACAAGTACTCCTCTCTTGAGGAACTCAACCACACGGCCCGAGCTGATAATGGCTGTTGATTCTGAAGATCCAGTAATAAAAGCTGGTTGGAATCCAGACTATATTGACTCTTTTTTCCTATGTACTATAGTAATGAAGTACATATAGAGAATGCCAAGCTTGGAGATCAGATGTACTATATTGACTCTTTTTTCCTGAACTTAAAGAGACTTCCTTTGGTAAATCCAGACTCCAAAGCATTTATAATTTTCAGTTTAGACATCTAAAGAAATTTTAATAAGCAATTCTTTGCAGGTGGGAGTTATAATTATTACAAGAAAGTATATAATGGGAAAGGTTGATGAGAGAGCTTTCAAAACATTTGTGATATTGATATTGATATCACTGGAATCATATAGAATAAAAGCTTAGATTCCTTTTTATTTCGTAAGTATACACATTGGTAATTGCAAGTGATTTATATAATCATATACTATCTGTTGTATTCATAGTTGTATGAATTTGGAATGAACAGACCCTGACTGGAAGGAGCTGCTAAGATGGGGGAACCGATTGAACAATGTAGAAGGAATTGCTCAGGGGTTACTCTATCTCCACAAATATTCGAGGTTGACGGTTATCCATAGAGATTTAAAAAGCAGCAACATCTTATTGGGTGAGTAAGAAACTGTCATACCCAGTTCTTTCATTATTTTAATGCTATGTGCTTGTAGATTATGGTTTTGACTTTGTTAATGTTGGCTGTAGGTAAGTAGGAAGATAGACTTGGTCTATGGTGGTGGAAGTATAAGTTTGATGGGTTTGATTTCCAAAAGAGTCTATGATAGAGGATGCCATGTTCTTGGGTAACTATCTATCTAACACCTTTTTGGAATTTTTACTCTTTGATTGTGCAGTGTTGGTAGCTATCTATCTCTGATTTATTCTAGAATTGTCATCATTGCAGCTTTTGTGGTTTATTGGCATTCGATTTTTTTTGAAGAGTGAATGAAGATCATTTTGAAGCTGCAGGTAAGTTGAACTAATCCTTTTGAAATCTATATTCTCAACATACTTTATTTGAAAACTTGTAGCTGCAAACTACAAGAGTGAGATAGGGAGTTTGGGCATGGTGATCCTTGAGTGTGCAATAATTACTTGGAGGTAGCTGCATTGTTTCTTGGTTTTTCAGCTTGATGTTGATGTTGGATCATCCACAGTTGCAAGGGGTGTTATCAACCTTGTTCTGCGTTAGAATCTGTAATCTCAAGAGGTGGGAAAGTTGAGGAAAAGACACTAATAAATTTGATTGAGCTCTTGATGAATCAACTCCTTAAACTGGATGGTATTGCTGCTGAAGGTGATGTCAAATTGCAGAGGAAAATGCAGCAGGTACGTAGGCATCTGATGAAACAATGCATCTGGTGCTTGAGACACTACAGGCTACTGTCAAGGCAGGTTAGTTCTCATGCCCAAAATTGTAGTCTATGCTGACTTGGTGCTTAGCTTTACTATTTATGATATTTTCTCAAATGTCAACTTCTGTAAGAGATTTTTTAAATGTTTTTATGCTCTATTGTAGGTCCTGAACTATTGCCATTAGTGGAACCCATTCTCTCTCCTATCATCCTTAATGTGTGGGCTTCACATGTTTCAGACCCTTTTGCCAGCATTGATGCTCTTGAGGTTTTGGAGGTAGGTTTTTATAATCTTATTGATTACAAATGTGATTCACTCTGCAGTCTGCATAGTGCTTTTTTGATAAATTCTTTTAGTAATTGTGATTTTGGAACACATACCTTTTAATTTTTTTTTTTATGTATTCTTAGTTTTAGTTATGTGAATCCAACTGATTCAGGTTGGGTTGCGGTTACTTCTTTGCCCACTTGGTTCTAACATTGTTGTCCGAACAACAAGGTGAGCTTTTACATTTCTTATTTATTTATTATCTCGACTTTATATTTATTTTACAATTTCTTATCAGTACAAGGGATGATTTTCTTTATGGTGATCCATTTCTATATGCTTAACCATATATATTAGTCAAGTGATCAATAAAACTCCTGATAGAAAATAGTAGAGCAATGAAATTATTTACTCCTATATAATACTATAATTGCTAGAATTAGAATATTCCTGTTATGCAATTGAAGATTAGACAACACTTATTAATGAGGCTTCACTATGGTATGGCTTGTGCAGCTGTTCTATTGGTGTTGTTTTACCTGTTTATTCTACATTTAAGGCAATTGAACGAAGGGATCACGAGGAGCAAAAAAAAATGGCTTATGTACTGGGCAGGTTGGTGGTGTTGTTGAATATTCTTGATGAATGTTGTAATGGGTCTCTTAGAACTAATGAAGACTTCCTATTGCTTGCAGCTTATGGATCTTTTAGCATGGTAGAATTGTTCACAGATAATCTTCTTAACTGGTACATATTATTCCTGCTTTCCTGTCTCTGATCTTAAGCCATTGTATTTACTTTTTCAGTTCTGACCTTAATCTGTTGCCATCTCTTTTCAATATAATCAGGTTTCCACTATACTATCATACGAAGTTTGCATTTCTTGTTTGGCTTCAACTTCCATCTATCGATGTAAGTCCAACCAGGTCAATTCTCTCTTGTTTTTTGTGTTACTATATGAAACCACTTGAGATTTGTAGAAGTTGGTCAGGAAATTTATGCATGGCAGGGTGCAAAGCAAGTGTATATGAATCATCTTCGGCCTTTCCTCTTGGACCATCAGGCTAAGCTTGACCGAATTGTTGGATTTGTATATGGTGAAATGGTAAATAGTTTAAACATGCATTTGTGAGGACCAAATGTGGAGGATGATTCAGATTCTGAGGATGATGATTGAGTAAAGAGTTCTCAATCAAACTAGTTCCTGTTTTTGTTTTGAAAAAATTGTATAGCAAACTGAATGGATAGGTGAGGTGAATATTGATTCACTTCAAAGTGCAGGGATCCTTTGAATGTGATGATCTGTTCTTCTATGTTGTACACTTGTATATGTGTTTATTTTGCCATGCAAAATTAGGTATAGTTTCCTTTCATGTAAATTTCCCCTTGCTTTACTACCATAAAGCAATCAATATAAATATTTAATTTTGGATTTTGTATTATTAGGAGTGCCAATGCTTTTGCAAACTCGATATGTAATTTCATTTATTGTATTTTTTACAATTACTGTAGTAATTTTATAATAGTTGTAAATAAATATAGTTTTAATTTTTTTTAATTTTTTAAAACAGTAATAATACGCGACCGTATGTGCAGTTTTGTACTAGTGAGACTACATCATTAGGCATATCAACATCACTACAGACAACAACTTGTTTTGGACCACTAGAATCAACAGACATGGGAACAGACTTATCAGAGACAGACATAGGAACAGATTTATCAGACTCATCAGTCTTAGACACTTCAGGCATAACTTTCTCAGTTTCAGGAAAAACAGTTTTAGGCAAACAAGATGGATCAACAAACTCAACATTTTTAGCAAACTCAACATTCGTAGATATAGGCAACATAGATTCATGTGAGGCCGGAACAGAACATGATGGATTCTCAACAGGCAAAATAAGGGTAACAGAGTGTAGAGGAGATACATGAACATCAGGTAGAGACTCAGTAGGCTTATCTGGTGATATTTCAATAGTGGAATCAGATGAGTTTAACCTGGTTTGGAGAACTTCTTTTCTTCTTTGAACTTCTTCTTGGGCGGCCTTCTAATAAGGGTCCGGATCATGTGAGGACCTAATCTTAGGTGAGGATGTGAAGACTAATCTAGACCACTAAATCAGAA